CTCCACCTTCTCTGAGATTGTCGTAGGTGTCAGGAGTGGTCCCATAGACCCCTAGGGTGCGTGGTTCCCACTGGCGATCCAAAAGTAGCTTGGATCAGGATTTTAATCTCCAAATTGCTTTACGATTTAGACTGGGCTTGGATTGTTGGGTTATAGGCCTTCTGCCGATGCTAAGTTCTCCTTCTTTGCTCCCGGGCCTCTTGGGCTGGTCAGGCTTCTAGGCCATCAAAGTCTTGATCTTGAGTTTCATCCGTATCAGATGAAAAAGTGAATGAATTAACTTTTCTTCCAATTCACCAAAATCAATCCCTTCAAAATCGGAAGAAAAATGGATGAAAAGTTAATTATTTGTGTTGAGATATATCTTATTTATCTATATATCTTTTTATATATACATATATTATATATACATTAATTTCATACTAATCTTCTAATCAAATAGTCAGTTTTATTTTCCATCCATTCAATCAAACACAAAGAAAAGAAAGTGTATAATTCATATTTTTCATCTTTTAAGGATAAAAAGTATATCTCTCATACTTTCCATTGTTCCTACTTTTTATCATTCCTATCAAACGAAGCATAAGTATCTTTATGTTCATGTTATTTGACCAATAATTTCTAAAATATGCTGACTTTTGATTTTTTTTTTTTTTTAACTTTCTTTTGGAAAGAGAAATGTGTTTTTGTTGCAAGTATTGGGTCTTTGAAGCCACCCTAAATTTTTAGTTGCTTTGGAAAAGTATTTAGAAAACATCATATTTTTTGTTTGGTACAATAGAAAAAAATAGAATGATAAAAAATTAGATGAATAGATAAAATATCATATTTGATAAGGAATAAAAATAGGAGTGATGAAAAAATAAATGAATTATGTTTCTTTGCAACTCACCAAAATCATTTCTTTTAAAATTGGGAGGAAAAGTAGATGAAAAATTAATTAATGTGTTGAAACGTATGCTATTTGACTATCGAGAATTTCTACAGTACTGTTAGTGGTATCGGTATTGAAAATTACAACTTTTAAAAGGTATGATCGATTATAAAATGTTATGATTGACACTGCATTTTTTATCAACAATTATGGGTGTGCGTGATCAATCATGATCTTCACTTGAATAATTATAATTTTTCTATGATATAATTATAGTTTTACCATAAAATATAGTACCCACTGATATCAATACCAAATTTTTTTTTTTGGGTACCATAAAATTCTCCCTATCCCTATCTAGATGTATCTTTTGTTCCTCAATTTGTTATTTTAGTTCTTTTGAAAGCTACAATTTAAATTGATGACCAGTAAATAAATGAAAGAGTAATGTTAGATAAATTTAAAAATTAGACTTGATAATTTCAACCATTGAATAGGTAGTAAATCCCAATAAATGCTGGAACCTACAATGAATCAATAGTTGAAATTATCAAGTCTAATTTTTAAATTTATTTTTTAAATTCATGTAGCATTGTTCTAAATAAAATGATTATTTCCCATAAATCAAATCTGAATGATCATTATATAGGACAATCTTTATGGAGCGGTATCTTGGCCCAGACCATCCAACTCCGCGAATTTAGTCTAAAAAATACATAAAAAACACGGAAAGGACAACGTTGTTTTTCATTGATCATGTTTGTAACACATGATTGGCCCTCACAGGATGGTGGAAGATGTCTGGGGTAGTTGGGGCGACCTATACGTAGTGGCATAGCACGGGTCGTTAAACATGTTTCAACTTTCAAATGGCACGTGTCCAGAGATAGGCCTGTTAGCCCGATGTATTACAGGATCATAGATCGGGCCATACGGTAACGATCCGTCGGCCAGATGAATATGGCCGTGGTCCTTGTTTTGTAGACAGTTACGCCCAATAGGTCAACTCATTTAAGGTCCGGTTCGAGTGGCAGCCCTATAAATAAGCCTCAATTTATATTTTTTATTTTTTAATTCTAGTTTTTGATCTTCCAACAATGCAATTTAAATTTAAATTTAAATTTTTACAAAAATGCTATCCAGAAAATCCCTTAATAATTCAATAAATGTTTCATTTCTCTTTATCAAAAAATTCTTCAGTCGATCTTATCCCGTTGATTTACTAGCCAGCTAAGTCGAATTTGTTCCCTTATTGACACTTGTTTAATTATTATTTTATAAAAGTGATCTATGTGTTATAAATATATATTAATTCGATAAGTTAGGAGGGAGCAATAACACTAGACAAACAAACAAAAAAATGATATATAAACCAAACAATATTTAAAAATAAAAATGGTAGTACTCAAATCTTGGATCCAGCTTTGGTTTGACCAACATGGGTAGATATGGATAAGCATGACTATTTTAACTTAACTAATGAAATCAAATAACACTTCAACTAAACATGAATGACACAACTCGATCGGTTAAGATTTAATTGACACAATTTAGGGAAGACTGATGAGTAAATGTGAATTCAAAGAATAATGTTAGATTGTCCAAATATATTTCTTGATAAACTAAATAAAAATGGAAGAAGGTTGCGTTCTCACTTTTCACATGTTTTTTTAACAATATCAACTGTACCCACTTTCGTGTTTGTGCATGTATTACGGAACCTCACATGAAACTTTTATAGTCATTGAATCTAGCAAGTTGCTTTTTCATATACATTAACCCAACGTGTAGTTTTCAATTCCATCTCTCCATGCTTCACTATGCCTTGTTTTGGCAAGTACCCACAGCATATTTAAAAAAATTAAATTAAAAAAAAAAGAAGAAAAATCAGCTTTTTTTTCTTCCCCAACCAACTTTATTGGATTTGGATTTACACACTAATGGTATCCCTGCATAATCAATCATTAATCACCAAGAAAGATAAGAAAAGAAAGGCCATCCAATATTCCTAGAGCCCATGAACTTTACTTTGAGAGAATTATATCTAGACCCCAAAAATTGGTCACTAGATCACATAAACCCCCTCAGGTATAAAAAATAAAACAGTGCGCCTCCTTAAAGTTTTGTCCCGTAACCCCCAATTGTTAAGCTCTTTGACTGAATCAACATTTTTTTTTGAAAAAATCCCAAACTACCTATGTTTGACTCTACAATAAAAATTTAATAATTTTTTAATTTATTTAGAAACCCCAACAAATTAAATACATATTGCTTTAAACCTTCACCATCTTTACGCTTAGCATAACACCGACGACTGCCACAACCAAACCAACCCATCGCCACTACCACCACCAACTCAAAAGATCCCACCCAGCCCATTGCTACAACCCAAATATCCTAACCCACTACCCACCGCCCATTGCCACCAGCCACCCACCCATTGCAAGATTACACCACCTATCGTCTCTAAACCCAAATATCAAAGGCGCAACACCAACACAACCATCACATGCCCTGCAAACAGCCCAACGCCCCCACACCATCACATAACCGACTCTGGTAATGGCTCTGAGAAACAGGAGGGTGGTTTTCCTGGATTTTCTACACACTCAAAAGGAATTAATTAAAGCAATTATTTTAATTGGTTATAATTCTTTGCTTCCATTTGGACCAAGAACGCCACGGCTTTTGCTCCTCAGCCAAGAGCAGATATGACTTTTAGGTTTTGGAGATCTAAAGAAGGGATGTGGGGTCGTCTCCGTTGTTAATGCAGAGGTCACCGACGACCAACGAAAGAAAAGATTGGGTGGGCAAACGGTGGAGGCATCGGTGGTTTTGCCAAACAGAAGAATTTTGAGAGAGAAAATAATACTATAGGAAAATTTGGAGGGGACTTATTTGGTAATAAATTCATCAAGACAATTTATTTAATACTAAGTTTATTTTGATTTTTATTGTTAAAAAAAAAAGGAATTTTCAAACATAAAAAATAGTGTCATTTAAATACAAAAAAAATAGTAATATTCAAACAAAAAAATAGTACCATTAAATACAAAAAATAGTAATATTTAAATACAAAAAAATAGTAATATTCAAAAATAAAAAAGTAATAACATTGAGTATTAATATTTTAAAAAATAACAGTAGTAATATACTTAACAAAAACAGTAACATGCTCACAAAAATAATAACATAAACAGTAAAATTGTCAAAAAAAATATATAAAACTGTGGGCTCCAATGTTTGATGGAGTCCACAATTAATCTAAAGATTATAATAAATTAGGTCAATAAATTAGGTCTCAATAACATTATTATTTAAAAAAATAGTAGAATTAACTACTTATTACTAAGATTAAAAATGGACTTATTCCCAAATAATTTTTTTTGATAAATTAAACTCATTAGGTCCGTTGGCCGTTACTGATAGGGTGACAAATGACAATGTTATTTTTTATACCTCAGAGGATCCGATTGATTAAATGGTAAATCTAAAGAGGTATAAGTGTAATTCTTCTACCATGTTTTGGTATTCTCCCTGTGCACCACTAAATACGCTTTGTGCCCACTTCGCATGAGTGATTTTTCAACATCAACGTAAGCCAAGGGGCCTGAGTCTAACGTCACAATCATGTCATCACTCTTTCCTGGGAATTACCTCTCTTTCTCTCATTTCATAGTGTCAGTTTTCTCTTTTATTCTCTCTCTGTGTCTCCTACTGGGAAATGCAAGTAGTAATAACGCGGACGAGAAGGTTTGAAAATTCTTGGTCTTCTTCCAAATGCTACATCTCTGACTTTCTTTTCTTTTTTTTTTTTTTTTCTATTCTTAATTTGTCTTAATTAGTCACCATCATCAATGGTAAATACGTGTAATATAACAGTAATACGAAGGTAGAAAGAAACAGAAAGAGGCCAAGCGGGGTTGTTCTGGAATCTGGACCCTTTCAAGGAGAAATGGTCAGCAATTGGACTTTCTCACTTCAACTATAGCTCCAATGACCGTTGACCGGTCCTTGCGAAGAAAATCCCACTCGCTTTTCTCGGTCAAACTTGCTCCTTCCCCTCTCTATATTTCTCTTTTTCCCTCAATTTTCTCTATTCAAAACCAGACCCTCTCTCTCTCTCTCTCCTCCCTAAGACAGCAGAACTGATTGCATTTAGGTACAAAATCTGCTGCTTTTTTTGAATGATCTTTACCCCCAATTCATCTGGAACTATATAACCAGTTTAGCCTCTACTTGTCTCTTAGCTAGGATTGAGTTTGTTTCCTTCTGCTACTCGCTACTTGGAGACTTTCAGCTTCTTTTTTTCACTTTTACAGCTTCCTACTCGTTTATATCCTTCTAGATGAACAATTTTGGACATCAAATGATCTCCTCCTAGCATTTTTACCATCTGGGTTTTTCATTGCTGTTTTATTAGTACCACTTGGTTACAATTAATACAGCAGACTTGCTTGGTGTGGCTTAAAAATGGAGAACTCAGCTGACTGGGAGAAGATGAATCTGATAAATGAGTTAACACAAGGGAGGGAGCTAGCAAAGCAGCTCCAATTCCATCTGAATGTGTCATATTCTTCGCATGAAGCCCGAGAATTGTTGGTTCACAAGATCCTGAATTCATATGACAAGGCTCTCTCAATGCTGAAATGTGTTGGTGCTTCAAGTGGAGAACCACAACTCACCATAGGAACTGCGATTGCAGTGTCGTCCGAGTCCCCTCGTTCCTTCATTGGAAGTCCACATAGCGAAGATTCCGACCGGGATTCCAAGGATCAGGAGCACAAAGATGGGTCAAGGAAGAGGTAATAAGTTGTAGCTTTGCTGCTTTGGGTTATGGCCTTTCTTTATTACATGCATACTAAGATTACTCGAGTTTCATAGTGATTAGGGATGTTAATCGGACAGATCGAACCAAGTTATTTAAATTCGGCTTGGGTTTGACTAGTTAACTTGAACAATTTTTACCCGACAGTCGGCTCAGTTGGACTCCGACTAACTCGATTCGATTTTTTTGTATATAAATATTAGAGCTCGACTCGGATTCGACTTATTTTGAGTTCGTTCAGGCTCAACTCATTTAAAAAATGAGTCAAATTTGAACATTTTTTTAAGTTTTGGTTAAAAAAACGAGTTTTTTAAGTTCAACTTAAACTCATTCGACTATTGCCCAATATTGTAATACACTTTTCCTTATTTTTTTTTTTTCCAAAAGTAGATTATTGCATTATGAATGTAGGTGAAACCTGCACGGTAGATGATGTATCATTAATAAAAATTAAGGAACAGTGTATTACAAAAGATGTAGATGGTTTGAGTTTCACATAAAATGTATAAAATTTTACGTTGTGTTTGAATTACCGCGTGCAGAAAGTGTGTACCGCGGTGGACAAAACAAGTGCAAGTTTGTCCAGGATCAGGACTTGAAGGAACTCTTGATGATGGCCATAGCTGGAGAAAATATGGGCAGAAAGACATTCTTGGAGCCAAATATCCAAGGTTCTTCCTATGATTTATGCCTGATTTAAATTTTATTACAATGAAAGTACATTTCTCCATGAATTTGAGGTTCAAGTACATCTATTCTTACTCATGCCACTGAAATTTTCATATTTACAACTGATTCTTTGCATTTGCAGAGGCTATTACAGATGCTCCCATCGAAATGTACAAGGATGTTTGGCTACCAAGCAAGTGCAAAGATCTGATGAAGATCCAACAATCTTCGAAATCAATTACCGGGGAAGGCACACTTGTACTCCGACGCAGGGTTCCTATTTAACTCCACCACAATCATCATCGTCACCATCACCACCCGATAATCGAGAACCAAGAATAATCGTAGACAGTGAGCAATTCGCCCCTCTACCGCAACAAAACCAACAAGAAATACTCTTGAATTTCCAAACAGGCCTCAAAGTTGTAACTGAGAACTTGAACACTCCTGATCAATCATTTTCTTCTTTCCTCTTCCCTTCAACATCAAACACTAAGGCCGAAAACTATGCTTTCTCTTCTGCTATGATTGATAACAGTTTAGTGGGAAATTATTCTCCTTCATTCATGTCACCTGCAACACCTGGATCAAACTATTTCTCGGGTTCACAAACCCATATGAACAGCGTTGGACGGAGCCCCAATTTGTCCCTTCCGAGCCTGAACTCACTGGGAGAGTCTCAGCCGTGACCTCTGCAACCAATTCTCCTACTGTTGGTATAGATTTCCCATTTGGGCAAATGGAGTTTGACCCCAACTTCACCTTTGACAACCTAGGATTCTTTTCCTAAGTTAAGGAAAAAGATTCAAAAAATAAAGATTCGCATATATGAGGTGCACTTAACCATATGCACTTGGTGGATCCTAGTAATTAGCAAGAGAGAGAATAGGCGTTGGCGACTGCTGTCAGTGTAATCGACTTTGTCATCACTTTTTGACCCCAGTTTTGTCATGTACGTACTATTGGTACTCTTTTGTGGAAGAGTTAAGGCCAGTAATTTCTTAAGAGTCTTGATACTAAGCTGCTGTCAAATTTGATTCAGAAAATTAATCTATTTCATTATTTGAACAATTCTCTTTGATTAGTTTTGTTCTTATTCTTCTCTAATTCTCTCTGTCCATTTGTGCAATGAGTTTCTTGAAAGAAAGATTGGTAATCCAAGTGTACCTCTCAAGTGATAATAAAAATGAATCGTAAATTCATACGTCCTAAGTTTGAATCTTAATAATTTTTTGCGGGCCATAATAGATTTATCTTTTATTAATTATCTAGTCCCAGCATAAATAACTTGTTTTTAATCGAATTAGAAAAGAGACTAATTGAGGGGTACATAAAATGATTTAGACATATCAAACCGTTAAATCAAAAGAAAAAAAAAAAAAAAGATTGGTTGACTTTTATTTAGAAAAGCCGTTACAGAAGGCCGAAGAGAAGGACAAGGAAGAGAACCTTGATTTATCTTTAGGCCCACATTCGATCCACTCCATATAAAACCGGATCAAAGCCCATATAAATCCGGACCTGACAAGGCTAGACCAAGAAAAGCACGTAACCTACACGGTCCTTGTCCTTTATATGCACCCACTCCGCCCAGATACGGGGTCTGACATAGTCAAACGTTCCTCGACCCATTTGAGATCACCCCGACCTCCACGTCTTGGCCCATTTACAGCAACTTGTTTCTACCTGTTGCTCATTTATTTGGTGCTATTTTCATATACAAACCCAATAATCATATATCATTCGTGATCTAGTATAAGTTGTACCTGTTTAGAGTCATTCTTGAATTTCAAATAGTTATCAACTAGAGTTCGATTCATGGAATAACACAATTTATTATTTGGTATTGTTGGTGTTGTGGTGGTGACAGACTGCCCTTCTGAGTTAACAACTATGAGTTTAAAACCGAATATACCACAGTGAGTAACCCACATGGTCACTTTTTGGAGAGGTTATTATCTATTGGTCGCCTTTCCCCCTTTCCTGAAAGGCAAAAAAAAAAAAAAAAAACTCAATAATCATATACTACCACTAAAAGAAACTTTGCTTAATTGAGCCATTATTCATTTTACATCCTAACACGTTAACCTCAATTTCAGAAATAATCGGAACAGATAATTTATAAGAATTAATGTAATAATTCTGCAAAGGTATGCACGGGTGGGCAGCATAATCCCTTATCTCTTTCGATCCTCGTTATAAATGAGAATCTTATGCATCGAGCATGACTTACAACCTAATGTGTGCAGTTTCTCAATTTTATGTTTTGAAGGGGAAATTGATTATTTAAATTTGTACAACTGGCAAATGGGCATGTAGACCATGTCCACTCCAATCAATTTTCTGTTGAGTGTAATTAAGATCCAAATAAAAGCAATTTGAGATATCCTCACAAAGTGGTCCGACCCTTGTGGAGTGGAGCTATTCATACAACTCTGAACCGTAGCCTGTATACTTCCTCTATATGCTCTTAAGGGACTGTTTGCCATAACTTAGAACATTTTCAGGCGGATTGCATACTCATTTTAGCAAATGTATCTACCAGGAAACAACTCAAATTTGATGAAAACTATTGAAAGAATACATAAATATGCTTTAAATCGGATATTATAAAGCTGTATTAGGACCACAATTGACGTACTATGAGGTAGAGTTTGAAATGGACAATATAAAGCTGCATGTTTAATTACCTATGACATAGATATGTACATGACAATCCCTACAAACGGGTACATCAAGGTTTTATGTCTATGCCACTACTACTCAACTACCCGACATGTATTTATTGATTATAAGCCAAGCCAGATCAGTTTCATAGGGTTAGCCATGTTCCGTCAAAACAAACAAGCTCTCTCTCTCTCTCTCTCTCTCTCTCTCTCTCTCTCTCTCTCTCTCTCTCTCTCTCTCTCTCTCTCTCTCTCTCTCATGTATGTATCCTTGTTGAATGTGCTTTCAGAGGTACTTTTGATAAAACACTCACCATTCCTGCCAATACATCCACAAAAGGCAAAAAAAAAAATTAATTGAAAAGTCAAATAGGTGCTTAGTATAAGCCAGAATAATTGGTTTAGCAATTATTCGTGAGATGTTTAATTTCGAGTTGGCTAAGGAAAGCTTTGCAAATCATTTCCTCAAGGTAGGGCATCGGGCGAGTCAGGCTTGCCTGTCCCCAAAACAATGGCACAAGGCGTACTCATTGGATCAACCCTAAAGAGTTATTAGCATACTAACAATTGTTAGTATTTATAAACTCAATTCTTAAAGTGTAGTTTTTATATTTTTGGGTTTTTGATGTAATATTGAAAAAATCAAGGTGTTTGATGGTATATGAAGAGATAATCACTAGAAGTGTCCAAAATTTTTTTGAGAGGTCTGTTCATGTCTTTGGAGGAGTGTTCATGTATTACTACATGGAAAAACTAAAGAGACAAAATCTAGTTTAATGGTTGGAGGCTGCTAGCTATTGAATGGAAAGATTCAAGGACTTTTGGCTGGAATAGAAAAATATAAAAGGGGGCTGGACTGTTGCCAAAACAGTGGAGTGTATTTGCAGAAAAAAAACAGAGAGAAAGAGAGTAAAAAAATTTGTTTTGCAGCCAGAAAAAATGCAACAGGCTGTTCATGAGCAGAAGCTTTATTCTTTTGTATTTCTTGGATGTTTTTACTGAAAAATTCAGATAAGTTATTCCCTTTGTATTCCTTGATGTTGTGATCATTCTTGATGAAATATAAAGGTGTTTCTTGACTGAAATTGGTGTGGATGTATAACAGATTTTTTGTCATCTGTTTTACTTGATTTTGTGTTTCTTTGGTGATCTATTTTGCTTTCAATACCCTAAAAAATTGGTATCAGAGTAGATTGCTATGACTACTATGAGTAATGTGCTTCAACTCCAATTTTTCAAATTGGGGAAAGATAATTATGAAAATTGGACTATTCAAATCATGGTGTTGTTACAATCACAAGATTTTTGCAAAATTGTTGAAAAATGTTACATCGAGCCGACTACGGAGGAAGAACAAGCACTTAATGATGCTCTAAAGATGGTGCTTAAGCAATCAAGGAAGACAGATAAGAAGGCTTTATTTCTACTTTACCAATGTATTGACGATAATACTTTTGAGACGATTTCTTCCGCCACCAGCTCGAAGCAAGCTTGAAAAATTTTGAAGAGTATGCATAGAGACATTGATAAAACAATTCGGGTTCGTCTTCAAATATTGCGAAATGAATTTGAAGGGTTAAATATGAATGGAGCCGAGTCAATTTCAGAGTATTTTTCAAGAACTTTGGTGATTATGAATCAAATGCGAAAGTATGGAGAAGATATTGATGATGTTCGTGTTATGAAAAAAATACTACGAACCTTAACCCCAAAATTTGAGCATATTGTTGTGGCCGTTGAGCAATCCATGGATTTCAAGACTATGAGCGTTGGTGAATTGATGGCGACATTGAAAATACATGAGCAACGTATTAATAAAAAGATTTCAAATTCTCTTGAACAAGCTCTCCAACCCTAGCTTTCTTTGAAAGATGAAAGAAGAGAATTTCAAGGTAGTACATCTCAAAAAGGAAGAGGTAATGGAACACGAGTTAAAGGTTATGGCAATCGAGGACGAGGCTACGAAGGTCGTGGAAGCGTCTATGCAAATAGAGGTAGAGGAGGAAGAGGTTAATTCACTAATGATGTAAGAAATCAAAATTCTTATGGTTCAAGAGGAAGAAGACGAAGAAGAGCAAGAGAAAATTATAACAATCAAGGTTTTGACAAGAGAAATGTTGAATGCGTCAATTGTCACAAGTTTGAGCATTATAACAATAAGTGTTGGGCAAGTGCAAATAAAGGCGTTGAAGAACGTGTGAATTATGCCGATAAATCAAATAATGAAGCGGTATCTACTTTACTGTTGGCTTATGATGGATTTGAGGGAAGATAATGGCAATGTGTGGTTTCTTGATTCCGGGGCGAGCAACCATATGTGTGGCAAGAAGCATATGTTTGTAGAACTTGATGAAGTGAAGCAAAAAACAAAGTTATTTTTGGCGACTCCTCCAACATTCCGGTGAAAGGCAAAGATAAAATTCTTATTAAGCTAAATAATGACAATCATGATTTTATTTTCAATGTCTATTATGTGTCAGATATGAAGAATAGTATTTTGAGTATGGGGCAACTTTTAGAAATGGGTTATGATATTAGCATGAAGAATCTTTATCTTACAATTAAAGATGCTCATGGTAATTTGATTGCTAATGTGAAAATGTCAAAGAATAGAATGTTTTCTTTGAATATTCAACATGATGCTATGAGATGCATGAATGCTATTATTAAAGATAATTATTGGTTGTGGCAATTGAGACTTGAACATCTTAATTTTGGTGGCTTGAAGCTTTTATCTAGCAAGAAAATGGTGAAGAGTTTACTCTACATAGATTATCCGAATGAGTTATGTGAAGGGTGTATTCTTGGCAAGCATCACAGATTAAGCTTCTCAAGAGAAGTCAAGTGGAAAGCATCACGACCCTTGGAGCTTGTGCACACCGATGTTTTGTGGTCCTTTGAAGCCTATGTCAAATGGTAAGAATTGCTACTTTCTTACTTTTATTGACGACTATAGCTGGAAGATTTGGGTGTATTTTCTAAGAAAGAAGTCTGAAGTGTTTGAAGTTTTTAAGGAGTTCAAG